AATATATATATATATATATATATATATATATATATATATACATAAATTAAAAAAGAAAAAACACACCTGCTGATCTAGAAACTATGAAATTAGACAGCTTGCATTTAATCATGTATCCGTAATGTAGAATGTAACTCTTCAATATTGACAGGTTCATATTGCAATATTTTATTATGTAAATCTTTATCAATATCAATTAGTTTCATAAAGGCCTCTGTGATATCTGATGAATTCTCTAATGCGGATAATGATTCGGTTTCATAAAATTCCATTTCTTTATCGATTGTTTCTTTTGTAGAACTCATGCTCTCATTACTATACATGTATGTGCATAACACATATTTACATTATTATATCCATATAAGATATAGCTTAATATATTAAAAAGACTAAATAATATTTACATTAAATTTACCTATCTTGAGAACAAGGTAATTCATTACTACTGTCTTCTCCATTATTTGATTTTTCCAAATTGCCATCATCTATGTTTCGTTTCTTTAACGGTGGACCCTCATCTTCGTCACTCGAAATTTCAGTAATTTGCTCTCCTTTAGTTTCCTCGGATATAGGTACTAAAGGATGAAGTTCATTATAAATGTGCGTCAACAATCTTACCGCTCTGCCGCGCTTTTGTGCTTTCAGGCCATATTTTTTCATTTTTTTCTGAAAATTAAAAACGTTTGTAAGAGAAAGAAATATTTCCCACTAAATAAAAGTGAATCATTACCAGTGAACTCACATGTAATTCAGGAGTACTCATATCATTGTAATCGGGCGGTGGTGTAACATCTTTATTAATTATCTTAGGCGTCTTTGCGTTTTCAATGTTTTGAACATAATTGCATTGAAATTGTACGCGTGTAGCAGCTTGATTATGTAATCTATTTATATTAATCTGTCCTTCGGATAAAGATTTTCTTTTCAATTTTCTAATATTTGTAACATTTTGACTCAATGATACAATGTTATTGTCTAAATTTTCACAATCAATTATGATATCATCTACCACTATGTCATTATCTTTGATATTCTTATTACTTTTATTATTGCATCTGTTTGTCTTGGCATTCTTAAATTCTCTTATATCTGATATGTTAAATGATCGACTCTTTTCTAAGAAATGTTGTTTTTCATATTTATCGATATCAACGTTTGCAAGATATATATCCTCTTCAAAGTTAAGAGAAAATTTGGATGATTTAGAAACATCTGTTTCTAACGCATTCTTTATACAAAATTCATTGTGAAGTAAACTTTCTATATTTGAAACTGGACTGCAACTTTCGGGGTTTAAAAAATCTGGACTGGAGGATACCATAATTGGGCTCGAAATAGATCCTTTTCTCTGATCATCATTTGGTTCACTTTCTAATCTTTGTGTCATAAACATCATTTCTGTAGTATCTAACTTATCTTGATTTGATTTAGTTACGCTCTTCTCCTTTTCCGAGTTTGTCGTTTCTGAAAATTTTTCAACTTCGAGCAATTGACTGGTTTTTCCATTTTCTATATTTTGTTCGTTATCTTTTATTTGTTTTCTGAACTGTTGAGAATGAGATGTGACATTTTCATGATTCAAATCATCGTTTTCTAAAACAACATGACTAACATTAGAAGATATACTTTCAATTTCTGTGTCTGAGACAATTACATCCTTATCTTTTTGTGTCAACACAGATTGAGTCAAAATTGAGTCGTCTTTTTCAATCTCACTGTCTTCATTGATTGAATCAGATGATATACTTTTATCAGATAGATTACTATCTGATCTATTTCTAGTTTTCATTTTTGCTCGATACTTTGCTATGCTATTATCCTTATGATTTCTCTTGTATCTAGAATACATAGAAATATCTTCCTCATTCGTTTCTAAATCGAAGATGGTCTCGTTAAGCGACTGATTCTTCATTTCAGATTGTGAACATACTGATGGTACAGTTATAATTTGTCTTGAAATATCAACGTTTTTCTCAATTGGTAAAGTAAAATTTTGTGTATTATTCAATGTATTATGAGATTTTGTTATCTTATTAGATGATGAAGATAAAATATTAGTTCTTATCTGTTCAATGTTTTCTACATATTCATCAGAAAGACGGGAATAAAATTTCGGATCTTTGGTGGCATATGATCGTATACGCTGCTCCATTATAGTTAACCTGCCGAGCCTTTCCTTCATGTCAGTTGATTGTTTAATATTATTATCATAAGATTGAAGATCTTCAGAGTCATCATCTTTATCTATATAAAATGGATTTTTGTGCTTCGTAGGGGATATTTGTACGTGACATTTTATATCAGAATTCAACTCCAAATCCAATTTCGCATTTTCTTCCTGAACTCTCTCAATGAATAACGTGAGATCACTTTTCTGTCTCATTATGTCCGAAGATCGATCTTGGGTATATTTTGACTTACTATTTTGAAGAATATCAATTAAAGAATTTTTATGCATATTATCCATGGGAGATTTTAAAGAATTCAATTGAGATTCTTTAAAGTCTTCATGTATATTGTCGATGGGACATATCAAAGAATTCAATTCGGAATCTGCCTCGATTTCCATTACATTTAGTTCCATATTTTTTGAATGAGTAGATATATCTTTGTCCACCTCTGAATATTCTGCGTTCTTTGTGGTTGACAATCTTTGACTATAGATATCAGCATCCGCATCTTGTTTAATCAAACTCAATAATATGTGAATATTAGCATCTTCATGATCTTTAGAATGCACTATAGATTTATTCTTATATTTAGTTACAGGCATATCATCAAATATATCAGGAGATACACTAGTTTCCCATTTTGTAGGCGTGTTGCTTCTAGAATTTATTTCCACTGACAATTTCAAATCCATCTTTTCATCTTGCAGAATGCACGAATCTCTTGCAGATGTATAATTATTTTCGAGAGAATGTAATTTATCATTAACATCTCTTTGTAATGTTTTCTGGGAGCACTGAATATTTTCTATAACATCACGCGTACAATTTGGTGATGTGTTACAAGATTTGCCTAATTTTGGAAAATCTGAAACGGTTTCTACATTTAGATGTATGTTTTCTGTATTTTTATAATTGTGTTTAACTTCTGCTGTATCAGACATTTTTTGACGCAGATAAACGAATAAATCATTTATCTTATATTTTCTTCCTAGAGCTCTAATATTGGATAATGCTGTCTCAGAATGAAATATTTTCGAATGCTTATCAATTACTCCACAGTAAAGAAATTCCAGAAAAGCCAAGGCGACATCATAGTCAGTATCAATCCAACAAATCTTTTCTTTTACAGTAGAGAATTCTGTATCATTGGGAATTACATCAAGTAAAATATTTGCACAGCGTGTATAGAAAACTAATTTGTGCGCCCATATATGTTTGCTATTTTGTACAAACACGATAATATCACTTGCAGAACTATCGTTAAGTATCTTTCTCCAACTTACTGCTAGATCGTCAAGGAATTTCTTCTCTTTGCAACATGTATTGTCTGTATTCATGATCGTTAATGCTTCATTATTGTCCATGGTTTTTACAATCTCTATTTTCTTTATTTTCTGCATTTGTTTATTATCCAAACATCTTTCGTTGCTTACATTCAGTTCCAAAAGTTTCATGATATTCTGTTCTTCCTATAAAGCATAATGACGTATCATATATTTTGCATATAAAATATTATACATATATTATACATATTTTTAATTATTTATATGATTTGTCGATACGGCAATAACTTACATTTATTTCCTGCTCTTTCTTTTCCATTGGTGTTATCTGAGATGATAGTTGTTCTACATAAAATGCATTTTGAGTTGGAATTAACTTCGTCCTATCCCACAGTGTATTTTCCTTCAAAATAATAATATTACAATAATATTACAAATTTTAAAGTCTGACGTTCGAATTGAAAAATAATTTCTACTAAGTATATTTAATGCTAAATATATTTACGGTTTGACGCAATTGTTGAAGTAATTGATTTTTTATAACAATTCTTTCTTTATCGCCGAATTCTTTGACTTCTTCCTGAGATCTTTGGGTAAAGTCTTTACATCCCATAAGTATCTCAGCTATTCTCTCTGTTAAAATACGTTCTCTATCTGCAGCTGTACGCCTTTGTAAAATGGTTGGTTCAATGAGTTTTCCTTTTAAACAAAATAGAATAAAAATAAAAAACTACAAGGTTCCTATTAATTGCAGAATTTACCTAATTGATGATTAATATATAATTACTTTTTTTAGATTTACTAGTGGGCCAGTTATTTATTGGTAATGTATTTCTACTGCTACTAAACCCAAAGTTCTGTAACGTCCCTTGTTGAAGGCAGTCTATATTGTTATCTGGCACTGATGAATTAGATGATATGGCTACGATCTGAACTTCATCCCATTCTTCCATTTCTTCTTTCTCATATAGAGATTTAGAAAGCGCCAAAGCAAGCTGAAGATCAGGGTCATCATTTGATGCCTGAAATATCACAAATATTTGAAACAAATAATCTAAAAATATTTATATAAATGTTGACGATTTAATCATTTAAGTTATTAAAAGAATTATCTACCAAATTCCAATAATTTGGCAATTTATATAAAAATTATCTTTCGATATCTTCAAATGATTCCATACCATTTTACGTGGAACAGATTTCTTTTTGTCTTGTAATATAGGAGCAGAGAGTAAGCCCAATGACTTTCTCTCTGCAGCTTGTCGTTCTTGTAGTTCCACAACGTCCATCAACTTTTTCGTGGACACATTATTTTTCATGGCACAACTCTTCATGTGTACAGCATGTGAACTTTCATCTTTGAAATTCTTAAAGCACAATGGACAGACATAAGCAGTTTTTATGTCGATTGAATTCTGTGGTGAGTCTGTTTCTTTCTTTTCAGATTTAAAAAAAGATGACTCAATTAATGGCTGCTGCACATTATGAGGAATCTTTTTATTCTGTAATGACTTTCTGCTTTTGAGCTTCCTTTCGTTATTAATAATTTTAGGTTTAGAATGAATTTTTTTCTTGGAATTATCTGAAGGTTTGCTGCTATTAACAACTTTCGATTGCATTGAATGTATTTTTTTTGGCGATTTAAAATCCAATATACTATCATCATCACATGAAGCTTGATATGTATGAATTGTATCTTTGTTTATATCATTATTAGAATGTTCAGAAAAATGAGTCTTATCATCTGCACTGAATAAAAGAACGTTCTATATTACTTTATATATTTTATCTCCAATATTTTTTATCAATACAAAGGATATTTCTTATCAAAACATAAGGATAAATTTAATAGGAAAGAAGAACATAATAATGAAAACATTTTGGGATATATTTTTTATATACTTCAAATATATTTTTTTCTCATTGCATCTTTTTAGAAAGATACATGTTACATGAAGTCAAACTACAAAAATTACTAATTTAACATAATTTACATGTATTAATGGCTATACCTTTCTTTATAATTTTTCCTTAATTTCAATCTTCTCTTGGCACTATCAGACTTACAGAATCCATCTTGTTCAACATCCATTATAGTTATATGAATTATAAAAAATGTTTTATTATTTAAACTTTATTTGTTAGCTTTCTTTTATTCAGCTTCTTTTAGTTCAACTTCTTTATTTAATTTAGCCTGCTGCCTTTGAACTAACTTTTCAATAGTACCTCTCAAGAATGGAAATGACATATAATCCTCTAGCATAGCCTTTGCATCTTCGGACATTTGATTGTCTTCATACTCTTTTAGATATTCAGGATTAGTAATACTGTAAAATAAAATTTAATATTACAATCTGAACAGAATAAAAGCTCATATAAAAAGTTTATATAAAAGTTTGTAGATAAGATTCAAAACAAGTTTACAAACAAGATTCCATTGGATATAAACAAATAACACGCTGACTGTAGATATATCCATTTTTATTAATGTAGATTAATTTTGATCTTTATTTAATTTTTACCTTAATTCACATATTTATCTCTAACATTATAGAATTTTAATCACTTCTTTTTTTGTTTCTAAGAATTAAAAATATAGAGTAAATTATACTGAGATTAAAATTAATAGAAATCGGTAAAAATGGATACTTGAAAAACTAAAAAAGGATAAAAAATTAGGTTAGAATAAACTTAGGTTAATTGATTGAGAGAAATGAACACAAAATTTATAAATGATAATTTGTAGATTTATAAAATGTAGATTTTTTTATTTAATTATAAATGTCTAAAGAATTAATACGCTAAAAAATAATATATATATATATATATATATATACATTTTGTTAAAGGTGTAAAATCCTGCTACACCGTAAATGAGGGTTATGACCAGCGATGTCAACCGAATGTATCTCCTCACTGGCGTGTTCCTGAATTGACGCGGTTTCCTGTGCGTTTCATCCGTAGGATCATGAAGCATCTCACAAAGATCATATGGAAAAAAAAACAGTCAAATAATGCCAGTGATTACAGGCGGCAATGATTCTACAACGCGGTCGTAGCTAAGCATTTGGCACTAACCTGATCTGACTTGCTTCGATCATTGACCATTTATTCAATCGAGTAAGAACTTTAAGAGAAAAAAATTATCTGTTTCTTAATAAAATTTATCATAAAAAAAAAAATCTGAACATTGATGCTGATAAATTTCGATCTGTATCTAATTCAATTTCCTTTTTTTTTTTATCTTGTCAAGCTTCGTGATCTTGATTCAGTTATACATTCATTAAAATAATAAGAGCATGTATACAAAATGTGATTTCATACTTTTATTGGCATAAGTCAGTTCACTGTATATATATCCATATATAACTCATCTATACTTGATAAAAATCTGTCTTCGACCAATAAGGATCATCGTGCAAATTTACAATTGTGAAATTCGTTTAGCAGTTGTACAATAGAATCGATTCCACATCCCACATTTCAAATTCATCTTATGTATCACATTCTGCAATATAGAGCGCAATAAATGTTCATTCAAAAGCTCCTCTCGGGTTTATAACACATATTCAATACATTCCAGTCATTACACAACGCCATTACACGACGCTTAGAAAATAACTACAAGGTATCAATATTCGTAAATAAATAAAACAGCTAATTAACAAACCGTATCGCGTTTTTCACGAAGTATTTTCCAGGTTGAATGAATGAATAACTATGCAAACACTAATACTTGTATAACATATGTAATGATATCTCTGGAATATAATTATAACATAATATTGTTATATGTAACAACGTTATATTGTTGTAAATATACATAAATATTATAGGTTGTAGTTTCCAAAAGATTATGAAAAAAATTTATAAGAATCCAATTAAAATATATAATCACATATCAATCTCATATGAAACATTGTCAAGTTAGTAGTATGATGAGCTTAAATTACATCTATGTGCATTAATAATGTGGAATTAAACTAAACTCATCTAAATAATCTAAATATGCTTTATTAGAAGCATGATTAATATAGCTAAAATTAAACGAAGTGTAAAACTTCACATGGAAGTTGGCGACCAAAAATTCATCTCTCTTAGTTCAGACGGTTTGGCTTCAAATACATTTACATAAACAGGTGACTTATCTCCCGACTTTTCTTCCTTCCCTATATACGTAAGATTTTGTGAGGATATCGATTTTTTTCGATTGAGTGGCTTGCGTGGCTCCATGTCCGCAAAGAGCTCATCTTCCTCCTCTATCTTCGCTGTGATCACTTCTCTAGATTGGCCTAATATGCTTGCCAAAATCCAATTACCCTGATATTTCTCTTTATCTGGTACAAATGCGCCCGTAAAATATCGATTAGTGTGAATCTTCCTGCGTGCCTTTGGTGAACTGTCTGGAGTTCCTGTCGGTGATGCCAGCGGCGTTGCCGGTAACGACTTACTGACGCTTTTCATTGAATTATCCACCTGTTGAGAACGCGAGTCCGAAGTGAATACCTTGGTGAATTTACCAGACATCATTTGGCTGGCTACGTGAACAATCGATTTGCCACAAAGAGCTGGTTCACCATGAAAACCATCATCCGTCCCCTGCGACTTAGATTTTAAATTTGCAATCCCTGTAGTTTTGTGTGTTTTTGTGTCGACGGCTAAAATAGTATTAAAACCATTAGCTCCAAAATAAACAAATGCCAAGAATATATTCAAACAATAAAATATAATAAATTTATAAATATAAATTTATAATATTAATTTATAAATTTCTTATAGGAAGAAAGGAGGTAATCAATATCATATATGACCAATTTATTAAAAAGAAAATTTAGCTATTGCTTTGAGTCGTAACTACAAGTTAAAAAATAATGAAGAGATGCTTATATATGTATATAAGATTAAGTTAAAAAAAAGAAAAAGTTCTTGTTTTAATTTATATATATATATA